AGCCTCAAGCTGTTGCCCTGGGTAGAGTGCTGTGACATCACAGCTCACAGCAACCTCAAACTCCTGGGCTTAAGCGATTATCCTGCCTCTGCCTCCCAAGTAGCTGGGACTGTAGGCACCTGCCACAATGCCTGGCTATTTTTTGGTCGGAGCTGTCATTGTTTGGTGGGCCTGGGCTGGATTTGAACTTGCCAGCTCAGGTGTATGTGGCTGGCACCTTAGCCGCTTGAGCCACAGGCTCCGAGCCCAGGACACAGCTCTTGCTGGTGCCTGCAGAGGCCTCCAAGGGCCTGTGCATTGGGGATGCAGATCCCTCCCGAGTGGCCCTCCATCCATCCCCTGGGCCAAGTAGGCTGGAGCAGGCTGTCAACAGGAAGGGGGTGCTGGAACCCCCAAAACTGGCGCCATCACAAGCCACCACAACCACCGCCACAGGCCAGCACACTTGCATACCCCACCCCACCCCCCCACACACAAACAAGCATAGGCACAGCAGCCTCTGATCCAGTTTAGGCCTCCCCAGGTACTTCCTGCTCCCACCCCAGCTATGAGGACAGCTGTGTACCTGGCATGGTGGTGCCTATCTGCGAGGGTTACAATTATTTGGGAAAGACCCCATACCCCTGCTCCAACTCCAGGCAACAGCAGGTGCCACCTGCAGTCAAAATTCCCATGTTCCAACATGCCCTGTACTCCTGCCCAGGATGCCCACACCAAGAGCAACATTCACCCTGCTGGGGGCTGTATAGGAACACTGCAACCTAGTGGCAGACCTCAGTCTGGCTTCTGGACAAAGAAGAACCAGGCTGCCCCAGCTACCTGACCAAAGCTAACTAAGACAGTCACAAGGAAGCTGCCTTTTTGGCCGCTGAGTTGCAAAGTGACTGAGGTGGTAGGGCCCTGTGAAACTGGCCTCTGACTCAGGGAGAAAATAGGCTGTTGGAACCTCTGAAACCCTCCTGAAGTTTGTAGCACTGACACTCCTTCCTCATGCCCTGTAGGGACCAGGGCTTTGGCCCAGGAGCCCCAGGGAGAGCAGACCCTTGAGGGAGGGTCCAGTCTGTACCCCCTACTCTCTGGATGCAAGAGCAGGGAGGCTGTGGGGACAGAGCATCCCCCCACCTTCCCTAGCCACCCTCAGCATTTGGAGTGTCCTACACACCAAAGCTGCTGCCCAGAAGATTAAGGGCCTCTGGGGAAGCTGGTGGGGCCCAGTCCCTGGTAACAAAGCCATAGCAGGAGGGCCAGTTGGAGGAGACTTTGCAGCAGCCATAAGGTCCCAGATCCTGATGTCCCCTGACCCATAAAACCTCTGGAGCAAAGCAGGTGACCAGCCCAGCTGGCAGCTGCTGAGGCCAAGGCAGGTGCTTGACGGGCTCCTCACATCCTCCTTCAGTAGAGAAGATGGACTGGGCCCAGGTAATGCCTCCACTTCCTAGCCAGCCTTTTGTACAGAATCCTCCACAGAGCTCAGCACGGCTGGGGTGTTTCTGGGCTAGCCCCACTAGGGCCATGTGACTGACCACGGCGCTTTCAGCCCCCACCATGAGCCCAGACACCACACACACCCAGTCTCGCATGATCACAGACGCAAAATGAGACTTCCCAGGGTGTGAGTGAACCAGACCTAAGTCTTTGAGTCTAAACTGTCTCCACCTGGCAGGACCCTGGAGAGCAGGGCCAGACAGCGCTTGGCTGCACTTGAGAGCACTTGTGCCAGACAGTGCTTGGCCACACTTGGAAGCATCCCTCAGGTCTGAGGGAGGCTCAGGGTCTGGCTGACTCAGGCTGGGGGGCTCTTCCTGGTGGGCCTCCGTGCTCCTCACATCTGGGCCTCGCAAGCTCTGCAATCTGCCGGTCCTTCAGCTGCACCAGGTGCTCCAGCCTGACCACTTTCATCTGCAAAATCTTTAAACACAGAGACAATAACAGTGACTGACTCAAAGGCAGCCCCTCCATCTGCCAGAGGCAAGCTGTACAAGACGCATGGCTGGTCAGCCCAAAGGTTCTCTTGCCAGGACAGTTGGGGGCAGGCCTTCACAGGAACCTGAGGGCCACAGCTGGTATCCTCCCCACATGGCTTCCTCCTAGTCCCAGGAGGCCAGAGCTGCCAGACCTCCTGTGCACCCCAGCCTGCACCCACCTCTGTACCAGGTGGAAAGCCTGGGACAGAGTGGGTAATAAGTACCTAATTGCTGTGGGCCCTGCACTGGGACCTGGTGGGAATTCAGAGCATATTTGCTCAACTGATGGCTGACTGAGTGAATCTACTGCAGTTGGACAATGTGTCCAACATTTACCCCTAAAAGCCTGAGACCCAAGGAGATAGGCATGGAGCTGGGTCACAGGGAGAGCACCACAGCCCAGGAGGCCCAGCTGGGGAGTATGACAGCCACCCCAGCAAGCGAGGAGAGTGGGAATGGTTAGATTTGAAAAGGCTCTTCTGCCCTAAAAATATTTCCAAAGTGAAGTCTGTGGAGTGACAGCCCATGCCACACACAGCTTGAGGTGCTGAGGACGGTGGTAGCCATTCAGGAGATCCAGCACTTCACTGGCCAGTTCCCACAGTGCTCCTTGCTCAGTAACTGAGGCCGCTGGCATGCTGCAGAAACACTGTCAGGCTCCTGCCCACTGCCAGGTTGTCACCCCAGGACTTGCCTGTGCCTCTGACTCTAGGGTGCGCACATCACACCAGCAACTATGCCAAGAAAATTGAATCATGTTGTCATCTTAAAGGGCAGGTTGAGTGGTTTCCTAAAATAGTCATAGTTCTCTCTGGCAGCACATGGACCAGAGCCTTGATGTGAGAGGCTGTGGTGCCCTCATGGTAGTGGCAGCAGTAGCTTCACTTCTCCTCACTGCTTCCTCTATGCTGTCATTTGGCAACTTTTAAGCCACACAATGATATCACTTTCCTGCTTTCTCAAGAAAACAACTCATCAAGTTTCTAGGACCCACTCAGGAACTGCAATGACCACAAAGCCCATCCGGTTGGTGCAGGCTGCACACCCACCCTACACTGCCCTGGGTCTGACGTCAAAGTGTGCCGAGGGGCTTGCTGCACATGGGAACACTGGAACCTCCTGGCAGAGCTGAGGGATCATTGTGCACTCACAATCCCCAGGCTGCACTCACAAAGCCAGCTATGTACCCACTGCAGAGCCAGGAACCTACCAGAAGCCCCAGGCTAGGTGGGGCTTCCTGAGACCCTAGCCCTTTGGGGTTAGGCCAATGGGGACAAGGAAGAAGGGTGTAGCATGAGCTGGTGCCAGCACCCCCACCCCATCCACAAGGAAGGGGTGACCTGCTACTGCTCCCTGACCTGGGCCCCCATGGCCCTGCTGCAGGCCCATGGGCACATGGGTCCCTGGACAACAAAGAAGGTGAGAGGGGTGGTGAGCACATGGGGGCCACTGTGCTCTTCCCTTTGAAGAGGCTGGAACATGACACAGCTAGGTTGTTTCCTAAATAAACTAAATGCAGGGCTCAGCACCCATAGCACAGTGGTTACGGTGCCAGCCACATACACCGAAGTTGGCGGATTCAAACCTAGCCCGGGCCAGATAACCAACAATGACAACTGCAATAAAAAATAGCCATGTGTTGTGGTAGGCACCTGTAGTCCCAGCTACTTGAGAGGCTGAGGCAAGAGAATCGCTTGAGCCCCCAAATTGGGAGGTTGCTACAAGCTGTGACACCATGGCACCTACTGAGGGCAACACAGTGACACTCTGTCTCAAAAAAAAAAAAAAAGGGAGGCACCTGTGGCTCAAAGGAGTAGGGCGCCAGGCCCATATGCTGGAGGTGGCAAGTTCAAACCTAGCCCTGGCCAAAACCTGCAAAATAAATAAAAGCAGGTTCTTTGGGGGGTGGGTGGGTAGGTGGTAAATATAGCCTCACGTGGTCACCTTGGGTAGAGTGCCATGGCGTCTTAGCTCACAGCAACCTCAAACTCTTGTATTCAAGTGATCCTCTTGCTTCGATCTTCCCAGAGCTGGGACTACAGGTGCCTACCACAATGCCCGGCTATTTTGTTTTTAAGAGATGGGATCTTGCTCTGGCTCAGGCTGGTCTTGAACCTGTGAGCTCAGGCAGTCCACCCACCTTGGCCTTCCAAGTGCTGGGATTACAGGAATGAGCCACCATGCCCAACCCTAAATGCAGGTTCTTCCTGGCTAGTGATCTTATTGGCCCACACCATCACCACAGCCCACAAGGGGCCCTTCAGCTTATGGGTGTCCAGCAGCCTAGGATGCCCATACCTTGATCATCTCCTGCAGGACAGCCAGTGCCTGCTCTTGGTCCTCCAAAAGATGCTGGGTCCTGGGGTCCGGATGCTCCCAGGGCCCGCCAGCTGGGTCCCAACTGAAAAAGACCACTGGCCTAGAGCCCAGCTGACAGGAGATGGCAAGGACAGGAGGAGACAGGGCATGGGGACATGGCAGAAGGTTGGAGAGACAGAGACCCACCCTCTACAGGCACAGTGGCCCATCTTCTCTAGAGCACTCCCATCCTGAGTGGCCTTCCTGCTGGAAGGAGCCGGGGGTCTTGGCAGGCCTGTGTGACAAATGGGCCCTCTGAGCACAGGGCCCAACCTCAGAGAAGCCCCCTCAGCAGCAGCACCATGGCAGGACAGGGACATGGATGGCTTAAAGCCTTGAATGCTGTCTCCTCACTGCAACCCTGGATGCCTCCAGCTTCCCTGTCTAGGGTGTCACTTGAACAGTCACCCCGTGTGGCCCTAGGGCTCTCACTTGGGGCTGCTGTCTGGCGCCCATGGAGCTCCACCTCAGAGGCCACTGAGAACCCAGGCTGTGTGTACCTGAGCACTTCTGCCCTCAACTGCTGGTGTCTGACCCAAGGCACCACAGGTCCACTCTGTGGGGAAACCATAGGAGGCCCAGAGGGGTATCAACACTACCGGTGTGTGTGGGGGTGGCGAGGTCCACCTGGGGCTGGAGGGTGTCCATGCCAAAGAGTCCTGATCCTGCAGACTTTAAACATTGTGAAGTAAGATGTCAAGCAGAAGGGCCATACGTTCTTGTGGCCAACCCACCTGCTATAGTCCCCAGGTAGATTCTCCAGCAGTGGGTGGGGGTGGGGTCAGTGAGCAATGGCCTGGGCTGTGCAGGAAGATTGGGGAACGGGGTGTGTCAGTCTCAGAGGGCCAATTCTGAAGTGTTTTCTCTGCCCTGAGGCAGGAGGGTCAGGCTGGAAGGGCCTGGAGGGTCTAGGGAGGCCAGGCCAGCAGCACAGCCACACATTTGAGCTGGGTGGGGGCCGAAGCCTCAGGTGTGCACTTAACTGCAGTCTAGACCACAGGGGCTTCATCACCACTTATTTCTTGGCTGTTCTCTCATACAAAGATTATTCAGTTGTGCGAATGTGCAGACAAGCAGCTGCAGGCTGAACACATTTGCACAGTACATACCGCGACAGCAGGCAGGTCCACGCGGGCAGTGCCACTCTCTATCTTGTCCCGCAGAGCACAGAGGATGGGCTCGATGGCCCCAGGCCTATTGGCCACTACCTTGCGGATATCCGTCTCTGAGACACAGAAGCTCAGCTTGTGCAAGACTTTCCTGCAGAGGAAGTAGGCGCACTCTCCTAAGAGCAGCACATCCCTCAACCAGGCTAGGCACTGGTGCCCCACTTTCCTCAGAGGAGAGAGACTGTGACTGGGCCTCTTCTTGCCCCAGACCCCAGAGGTCCAGCAGCCATCTCATTCCCAGCCCTAAAAGGTGAGCATACCATCAGGATCCCAAAACACAGGGTACATCAGGCTAGGCAGCACCACTAGGCCAAGCCTCAGGGACACTCCACCCAGCGCTCCTCTTCCTAATACATGCCTGTTGCTCTGCAACGAAGTCCTTTTAGCTGCCTCTAAATAACCTGCAATCTGATCTCCCCTACTACTACCAGGGCCAACACCTGCCTGCAGACAGGCCTTCTCATGCCTAGGTTAGGGAAATAGCCTCTCCCTCACCTGCAGCCTTCTGAAATTCAAGTCCTATCAGAGCCTGACCAGCCCTCAACACCTGCAGGGCCCTTACCCCACATGGCTGGAAGCCCCATCCTCATCTTCTACTTTACCTCAGAGGCCCTTGGGTGGCCCCAGACACACACACCCCCTCCTAGACTGCCCCTAAGCCTCCCCATAGGAGGCTGCCATTCCTTGGTATCTTGGGACCCCAGCTTGTTGCCATCTTCTATCTGCTGGACCCTGGCACATTGATGTTGACATCCCTTCTAATCTGGACAAATTTCACTACTGGTCTGTGACCACAAGGCTCTGCCCCTTGAGGCAGGGATCTGTCCTCTGTTGTGTGCAGTGTAGAACTAAGTCAGGGAGAGTGGGCTCAAGGGTAGCTGTCCTGGAAGTGATCCCCCAGAATATTATGGTGGATAAGACACAGGCACTCAAGAGGGTGTCAGGAACCCCACAGCAGGGACACTTTTCCCAGACAAGCTGTGGAAAAGGCTCTGGGCCAGTCTTGGAGGGAGGGGCCCCCAGAGAGTGAGGCAGGCAGGCAGGCGGCAGGTTCCACCCAGCAGGGCCCCGGAGCACGCTGCCCCCGGGAACCCTTGCCTGTTGAGAACGCGCCAGTTGCTGAGCTTCTGATCCGTGTTGCACGTGGGGGTGTAGTTGTGCAGGTCCACGAGCCGGGGATGGAAGTGCTTGACGATCTCCGCCAGCATTACTGTGTGAGGTGGGGGCGCAAAGTAAGGGGCCAGGCCGGCAAAGCCTCTTCTGGCCTCCTGGTTGGATGAGGCAAGAGACGGAGAGCCGGGCTTGGCCTGAGGACGCTGGGCTCTGCGCCAGGAGGGCAAGAGGGCCTGGAGAGGAGCCCACAGAGCAAGAGCTGCTACGGAGTACAGGGGCCGTCGGGGACCCCTCAATACCCGCCGAGCGCGGGCCGCCCTCTCCCCTCCACGGCCCCCGAGCTCCGCGCCACCCCTTCCGGCCTGACTCCCGAGCTCCCGCCAGAATTCTCTGCCACCCGGACCCCGACCCGCCCGGCGCTCGCCCTACAGTAGCGCCGCTCTCCGCCGCGGGCCCTCGCAACCCGGGGGGCCACCCGGCACCGCTGCTTGCCCGGAACAGAAGGCACAGGTCTGGCTACCCCCGCGACCCCGGCCACCCCTACACCCCCCGCAGACGCGCTCCCACCGCCATCGCTGAAGTCCCGAGCTAGATGGCGCTTGGGGCGGCTGAGCGGGAGTCGGTCCAGCCAGGCGTAGAGGCCGTGGAGGGTACTGGCCGGCGGCAGTGAGACGGCTCCTGGAGACTGCCCCGCTGTGCCCAGCATGGCGGACCTCTTGTGCAGCCGTTGCCGGGAGACGAGCCGGAAGGGGCGTGGCATAGGCTGCTTGTGGCGCTGTTGCCGGGAGACTGGGCCGGAAGGGGCGGGCGCGGTCCAGAGGCGCGGGATTTTTAGCGGTGCAACCTAAAGTGTGGGTTCTGCGTCTGACTGAGCCATTTCCGGACTGAGGGGCCCGACTGCGCGTTGAGGTGGTGGAAGGTTTAGGATTATTATTTTTTTTTTATTGAGACAGAGTCTCACTATGTCGCCCTCGATGGAGTGCGGTGGCATCACAGCTCGCAGCAACCTCAAACTCTTGGGCTCAAGCGATTCTCTTGCCCCAGCCTCCCTAGTAGTTGGGACTACTGGCGGCCGCCACAACGCCCGGCTATTTTTATTTTTTATTTTTTTTTGAGACAGAGTCTCAAGCTGTCTCCCTGGGTAGAGTGCTATGGCATCAAAGCTCACAGCAACTTCCAACTCCTGGACTCAAGCGAGTCTCCTGCCTTAGCCTTCCAAGTAGCTGGAACCACAGGCACTCCCCATAACGCCGGGCTATTTTTTGGTTGCAGTCGTAGTTTGGCGGGCCCGGGCTGAATTCGAACCCGCCACCTTAGGTGTATGTGGCTGGCGCCTTAGCCTAGTTTTTTTGTTGTTATTGTTTTTTTTTTTTTTTTTGAGACAGAGTCTCAAGCTGTCTCCCTGGGTAGAGTGCTATGGCATCAAAGCTCACAGCAACTTCCAACTCCTGGACTCAAGCGAGTCTCCTGCCTTAGCCTTCCAAGTAGCTGGAACCACAGGCACTCCCCATAACGCCGGGCTATTTTTTGGTTGCAGTCGTAGTTTGGCGGGCCCGGGCTGAATTCGAACCCGCCACCTTAGGTGTATGTGGCTGGCGCCTTAGCCGGTTGAGCTATAGGCGCCGAGCCTTTGTTGTTATTGTTTAGGGGGCCCCTATGGTCGCCGTCGCTGGAGGATTTAAGATTAAAGTCCAGGGAGGGAGGAAGGTAAAAATAGTTGAACTTGTTCTATTTACAGCATACATTTTAACAAGCACAGTACCCTCATATCTTGTAAATTGAATTGTGTGTCGCTGAGCATGCACTCTTCCCATGGAGCCAATAACAATCTCTCGTCATTAGAATTTGGGCAATAATTTTTTGGAAAAACACACATTTTTCATTGTAAGGAAAAGTTTTTAGCCCTGATAAATGTGCACCTGAGGTTACTGGAAACAAGACAGCTGCTTCTCTCCACGGCCCTTTAAATAAAAGGGACCTCTGAATTTAAGCACAGGAGTACATTTGTGTGCATGCACAATGTACACGCACACTCACGTGTACACACGCACGCACGCGTGTGTGTGTGTGTGTGTGTATGCGCGCATGCACACTACTGGGATGGGGCTTTTCCTTCTTAACTCTCATGGGAAACAGGCTCCAAAAATGAAGGGACTTGGAGTCTGGATGTAAATACAGTTGACTCACTGACATCCTCTTTATAGAGGAAGTATTCAGAGGTAACGTGATCTTGGGATGGGGTTCTCAGCTAGAGATGTCTTTCTGGTGATGCCCCACACACATGTGTGCCTGGGACCACCAGCAGGCCTGAGAGCAGGTGCAGAGGCAGCTTGAAGGGAACGAGCCCTGGTCTCCTGAACACACTGAGGAGCCAGTGGAGGCCAGTGGCCACCTACCAACACACACACAGCAGCTGACACTCATACCCAGCCTGGCAACTGCAGACAAGGCGTGGCCAACACAGGTGTTAAGGGGCTGGCCATGAGGAGCTGGACTCTCCTGAGGTCAGGGCAGAAGCTGAGGGTCCAACCTTGGAGTCTTGAGTAGAGAGGATCTGCCTGTGGGCTTGCAATGCTCTTCCCTTGTGATGTCTCCAAACTTCCAGTTAGGCACACAAAGGCACCCCCTCCATGGTGCTGTGGGAGTTCTGGCCCCATCACCTCCTCTGAACTGGGGGCTTCAGGGGGACTTTTGGGCCAGCAACCCCCTTGGAGAAGGAAAAGAGAACTGATATTAAAAACCATGTGCTAGGCTCGGTGCCTGTAGCTCAGTGGCTAGGGCCTGTCACATACACTGGGGCTGGCAGGTTAGAATCCTGCCTGGGGCCTGCCAAACAAAAAAATAGCCAGGTGTTGTGGCAGGTTCCTATAATCCCAGCTACTTGGGAGGCTGAGGCAAGAGAATCGCTTAAGCCCAAGAGTTTGAGGTTGCTGCCATGGCACTCTCCCCAGGGCGATAGCTTGAGGCTCCGTCTCAAAAAAAAAAAAAACCATATATTCTAGAATAAACTCTGCTTCTCCAAATTAATATATGGGCTTTATTTTT